TTGAGTATTTTTTCGTCAATGTTCATAAGAGAGATAGGTCTGAAGTTCTCTTTTTTTGTTGGGTCTTTGTGTGGTTTAGGCATCAGGGTGACTGTTGCTTCATAGAATGAGTTTGGTAATGTATCTTCTGTTTCTATTTTGTGGAATAGTTTGAGGAGAATTGGTGTGAGCACTTCTTTGAAGGTGTGGTAGAATTCCGCGCTGAAACCATTGGGCCCAGGGCTTTTTTTGGAGGGGAGACTGTGAATGACTGCTTCAAATTCCTTGGGGGATATAGGGCTGTTCAGTCTTTGTACCTGATCTTGACTTAATGTTGGAAGATGGAATCTATCAAGAAAATTGTCTATTTTTAATAGCCGGATTCTAGAAGCAACCTAAATGTCCCTTAACTGAGTAATGGATGAGGAGATTGTAGTACCTTTACACAATGGAATACTACTCAGCAATTAAAAGCGAGGAAATCATGAAATTTGAAGGCAAATGGTGGGAACTAGAAAAGATCATCCTGAGTGAGGTAACCCAGAAGCAGAAAGACACACATGGTAGATACTCACTTTTAAGTGGATATTAGACATATAATATAGAATAAACATATTAAAATCTGTACACCTAAAGAAGCTAAGCAATAAGGAGGACCCTGGCTAAGATGATCAATCCTCATTCATAAAGACAAATGGGATAGACATCAGAAGAGGGAGAAAACAGTGAACAGGTCAGGAGCCTACCACAGAGAGGCTCTGAAAGAATCTATCCAACAGGGTATCAAAGCATATGCTGAGACTCATAACCAAACTTTGGGCAGAGTGCAAGGAATCTTATGAAAGAAGGGGTAGATAGAAAGACCTGGAGGGGACAGGAGCTCCACAAGGAGAGCAACAGATCCAAAAAGTCTGGGCACAGGGGTTTTTTCTGAGACTGATACTCCAACCAAGGACCATGCATGGAGATAACCTAGAACCCCTGCACAGAGGTAGCCCATGGCAGCTCAGTCTCCAACTGGGTTCCCTAATAATGGAAACAGGGACTGTCTTTGACATGAACTGATTGGCATGCTCTTTGATCACCTCCCCTTGAGGTGATCAGCCTTGCCAGGCCACAGAGGGAGACAATACAGCCACTCCTGATGAGACCTGATAGGCTAGGGTCTGATGGAAGGGGACAAAGTCCTGCCCTGTCAGTGGACTAGGGAAGGGACATGGAAGGAGAAGAGTGAAGGAGGACAAGATTGGGAGGGGAAAGGATGAGGGCTACAGCTGGGATACAAAGTGAATAAATTGTAATAAATTAAAAAATAAAAATACACATCAGAAAAAAAAGATGATTAGTGTAAAGTTCATCCAAATGACTTTTTTCTTCTTTTTCTTTTGGTGTCCACATTTTGGTCATTTTTCTAATTATTACTACAAAGAAGAAATTAATTTTTATAAGGTAATCACATTAAAAGCAGTTATAACAAATTATTATTTGTAATTAGAAATGATATTACTGTATAAAATATTTTTATTCTTGTGCCATTTTATAATCATTATTTCTATCCTGTTGCTCATGATTATCCAGTTTTTAGAGTTGAGCTCTCTATATATATCTACAGCTACTCTTAATCATTTTAATGTTGTTTTAAAGCGGGGTTGTTTTGTAGTGGATTGTATAACTCTGGGTGGTCTGTAACTCAATGTGTAGACCAGGGTGATGTCTGCCTTCAAAATGCTGGGAATAAAGATTTTCACCCACCATGTTCAGCACTAACTTTATTTAAATCTTTACAATATTTTTTTGAATAAAATATAATATTTTATTTTTTTTAATTTTTCTTTTTAGTTACATTTTGTTAACTCTGTGTCCCAGCTGTATCCCACTCCCTCATTCCCTCCCCAACCCCACACTCCCCCCCTGGTCTCCTCCCTGCCCCTTTCCAAGTCCCCTGATAGGGGAGGACCTCCTCCCCTTTCATCTGACCCTGTTTTATCAGGTATCTTCAGGGCTGGCTGCAAAGTCCTCCTCTGTGGCCTAACAGACTGCTCCTCCCCTGGGGGGGGGTGTCAAACAGCCTGCCCTTGAGATCCTGTTAGAAATAGTCCGTGTTCCCCTTACTTTGGAAAACTACTTGGTTACTGAGCTACCACAGGCCACATCCGAGCAGAAGTTCTAGGTTATATCCATAGATGGTCCTTGGTTGAGTGTCAGTCTCAGAAAAGACCCTGTGCCCAGATATATTTGGTCCTTGTAGAGCTCCTATCCTTTCCATATCATACTAACTTCCCTTCTTTCATATGATTCCCTGCACTCTGCCGAGGGTTTGGTTATGAGTCTTAGTGTCTGCTTTGAAACACTGCTAGGTAGAGTCTTTCAGATGCCTTTTGTGGTAGACTCCTGTCATAAGTTCAATGCACATCCCATTTGTCTCATTGGCACAGGAGACAACTTCCTGAACAGAACACCAACAGCACAGGCTCTAAGAGCAACAATCAATAAATGGGACCTCATGAAACTGAAAAGCTTCTGTAAAGCAAAAGACACTGTCATCAAAACAAATAGACAGCCTACAGATTGGGAAAGAATCTTCACCAACCCTTTATCTGACAGAGGGCTAATATCCAGTATATATAAAGAACTAAAGAAGCAGAAAAGCAACAATATTTTTAAAAATAGCCTAGATTTAAATTATATAACACTGTTATTGTTTCATCAACGATATAATCCCCTTACTTTTTAAATTTCTTAGTTTTTGCCATAGTTACACATATTATTTCCTAAATTATAGATTATTTCCATAATTTTCATCATCCAAAAATTTATTTCCTCTTCTGAACACTTTTATTAGTTTAGTAGATTTTCTTTATGTCCAAAACATTTCTAGAATCATTTCAAATTCTTATCAGATGCCAGTAATTCATAATCAATATACTCATATTGAAAGATTTGTAGAAAGAAATGTAATCAGTCTATACTTACCATTAACAGGGGATATGGCTTTGTAATATATTTGTATATTTGTAAAATATTCAGTTCCGAGTTACTCTTTTAAACTTTATTTGCATACTATATTCATGCTAAGGTTATCTCATTTTTTTAGAATGGGTTCCAACAGCTAGCAGTGGAGTTGAATGTAGAGTGCTTGACTAGCATGAGTGAGGAAGTAGCCAGAAAATATTCTTCACCTATTATCCATTTATTATAAGCAAAATGCTTTGATGTTAATGTCCCTACCTCTGCTTAGGGGCAGAGCTTCTCTCCCAGAGGCCATTCACTCTATTATCTATACATCTAGGTTCCACTGCCTGTTTCCTACCTTTCTTTCCCTCCCTTTCTGTGTGTGCTGTCCTTCTTCCTCCCCTTCCTCGCTATTCCCAATAACTCTATATTTATATAATATTAAAAAATGAAATTACATTCATTTCATTTCCCATTTAGAGCTCCATGCTGAACAGTTTTAGCCCTTTTATATATGACATTTTGAAATGACTTCTTAGAATGGTAGAACTTCCTAGTCATTTCTTGATCCTTCCATACAATTAACATTTCTGCTTAATTTGCCTTTTTTCACTGAAATCATGGATATATTTGAATATCTGAATATATAATAAACAGAAAGGTATGGGAGAATAATATAGAAATTTATTTCATTACATAAATATTAAATGTATATTTTTCTTCAAAGGCATTGTTGGTTTTGCTAAATTCTCTTGCATATCACAAAAAAATGAGAAAAATATAAAATACTACAAAGGAAGAAAATACAAGATGCTTAAATATAACAAAACAAAGTTTCTTTAATAATATTTTATTACTAATTCACTTCCACCTAATTACAGATAGAATGAATATCTGTTGGTGCCTACTTTTAATTGTAAAATCATAGCAGAATAGATAAATAACGTATATGCAAATATTTGAATTTATTATTATAATATTTATTATTTTGCCACATAATGTACAATATGGAGTTTAGAATGAGTTATCGTCCGGACACTGAAATATCATTCTGAATTATGTGTGTGTGTGTGTGCACGCGTGTGTGTGTGTGTGTGTTTGTTTATTTATTATTTATTTGCTTATTTATTTATATTGTTTTTTTTGAGACAGGGTTTTTCTGTGAAGCCTTGGCTGTCTTAGTCTTTCTTTGAAGAGTAGGCTAGCCTCAAACTCACAGAGATCCTCCAGCCTCAGTTTCCCTGACTGATGGGATTAAAGGCATGCACCACCATGCCCAGCTGTGTATAGGCTTCTTTAGACAAATTTTAGAAACCAGAACATTTACATAGTAATTTAGATACCCCACCAAGGTATCGAAGGAGATACTGAGACTCATAGCCAAACTTTGGGCAGAGTGTGGGAAACCTTATGGAATCAGAGAGAGATAGAAAGACCTGGAGGGAAAGGAACTCCACATGGAGAACAGCAGAACCAAAAAACCTGGGCCCAGGAGGGCCTGCAGAGACAGAAACTCCAACCAAGGACCATGCATTGAGAGGACCTAGATCCTCTCAGATGAAACCCATTTCCAAGTGGGTACCTTAGTAAGGGGATCAGGGACTGTCTCTGACGTGAATTCAGTGGCTGGCTCTTTGATCAATCCCTCCTGGGGCATGCAGCCTTGCCAGGTCACAGAGGAAGATGATTTAGCCAGCCCTGATAAGACCTGAGAGGCTAGGGTCAGATAGAAGTGGAGGAGGACCTCCCCAATCAGTGGACTAGGGAGAGAGCATAGGGGAAGAAAAGGGAGGGTAGATGGGACAAAAAGGAGATGAGGGAGGGGGCTACTGCAGGGATACAAAGTGAATAAATTGTGATAGATAGATAGATAGATAGATAGATAGATAGATAGATAGATAGATAGATAGATACACAGACAGAAAGACAGATAGATAGTAAATAGGAAAAAAGAAATAATTAGGGTACAAACAAAAATAAAGGAAGTATTGTTAACTCATGAATAAAATTGCATTATAAATGAAAATATACCCGTTATTTCACTTCTTCTGATCCTGTCTTTTTCTTAGGGCATGTATATTAAATCAACATATGATGGCCTCCATGTAATTACTGGAACCACAGAAAATGTAAGTATTAAAAGATTTCCAAATTAACTATGTGTGTATTTCACATGATTGAATTTAAATGTTGACTACAATAGCATATTAGTATTGTATCTAAAAATACATACTAAGTAGATTCTGGATGGATTAGAATTTCCCTCCTTTTATTTAGTTTAGAATAGTTACTTAGAGAAAACAGACGTTTTCTTTTTAAAGCCATAGTTAGTTATCATTTTTAAATACTTTCTGGTTCATTAAAACTTATTGTGACAACTAAAATGATCTACTTCCATCTGTCAAATAGTTTAGTTTTTTAAGAAACCCAGTTGATATGAGAAACATCAAATCGTCCAGGTTTTTGGATACTTGCAGTATAATTTGGCACAGTCCAATAGAGATGTAGCTGAATTGTTTTAACAGTGAGATTCCTGAGCTGGCAGCGTCAACCTACTTAGAGAGCTTGCTAGAAATGTAAATTCTCAGGTTCTGCCACAGACCTAATCTTTTCTGTAATAAAAAGATTCTAACAAGTGTTCTGACTGTAAATTGGAAAAAGATTATCAGCAGTATATATCATACTAGGTTTTTGTCAAAACCAAATAAGCAAGTTAAAGATAATGTCACACAGAACTATAGCTATGCTCTAAAAGAGAGCAATAACTCTGTTAAGTCAGGCATTAACATGATTAGCATAATAGAAATTGAATAATAAAAAATCATTATCTCTGCAGTTAATTATCCCAGATTTCTTCTCTTACATAAGCATGTGATAAGCTTTGATTTTGTTGTTATTTTCTTTTAGAGATTCTTCTGTTGCATGTTTATGCTGTGTTCTCTGAAGACAGCTGTGGTGTAATTAAGTTAATTTCATTTATCATTGTTCTCAATTGTTTACCAATATTTTCTTCTTTGAAATCAATGTTTTCTTTCAACTAATATATATGAACGTTATGATTTATCTTCTTGGTTTCTTTTGGAAAGTTAAACACTTTGTAATTGGAAAGTTGTAGCACCTTCATATTATATGTTAAAAATGCGCATCAGAAAAATCAGTCAGCCCTGATGAGACCTGATAGGTTAGGGTCAGAGAGAAGGGGAAGAGGTCCTCCCCTGTCAGTGGACTAGAGAAGGGCCATAGGAGGAGAATATGGAGGGTGAGTGGGAGTGGGAGGAGACAAGGGAGGACTACAGTGTGATACAACATGAATAAATTTTAATAAAGACTAATAAATAAATAATGAAAAATAAAAAATACAGCATCAAGAAGATTTGTGATTTGAAAAGAAAAATCAGTAAAATGCATGTTTTAGAATATTTAATAACTTGAAATTTAATAAGACACTGTAAACTTTACTGTTACCATCACTCTCTAATGTACTTGTACAGTCCTTAGATCACTCATATACTCATTTGTCATTTAATAAGCCCATCTTCAACTCATTTTGTGTTCTAGGCCAGGCACTAAGCATTGGAAGGAATATTTATAATAAACTAGGTCTTTATTCCATTGAGAAGTAGTAAGTATTTAGGGATTCAATTACATGAAGAGGTATTATGATTTTCTTGATAAACAAAAGAAAAACTAATAATAATACCAAGTAATCCAGAGAAGAAATCATAGAAATGGTGCTTTTGAACTGTATCATGAAGAATTGGTAGAAATGGATCTTTCTGTATTACTCAACTTTGTGAAAATAACAGTTGAGTACTGTGCTTTATATACTTTACTCACTTGGTGAAACTTGATAAATAGTTACGTGATAAATGAAGTATTTAAATCTGGGCATAGTTTACATATCAATCATATTCGTAGTGATTCTTTTCTCCGTAATATTTTAATACTTTTGGAACCCTACATAATGTATAATTAAAAATTCTGTGTTGAGTCTTAGTGATCCATGAAGTTGCTAAGATATATTTTGTTTTGCTGTGTTCTACTTCTTTGTTTTTTTAAGTTTGAAATGGGGAATTGGGGGATATGAGCCCTGAGATCTCATTCCATATAGAAAGTCCATAACTTGTATCACTTACTCTGATTTTTCCTTTTTATGACAAACTTATTTCAGTTTTTTGAGTTTTATGTGTGTACAAACCAGCTTTTTTTTTTAACTTTCGAAACAGAAGCATGTGCTTGATTTTTTTTTTCTCATTTCTCTTTTAAAAGGTCAGTTTTGCACAAATTTACATTCCGACCAGCAATGGAGGAGGGTTCCCCTTTCTCCAGATCCTCTCCAGCATGTGTTGTCTCTTGAGTTTTTTATCTTAGCCATTCTGGTGGGTGTAAGGTGAAATCTCAGGGCCATTTTGATTTGCATTTCCCCGATGACTGAGGATGTTGAACATTTCTTTAAGTGTTTCTCTGCCATTCAGTATTCCTCTATTGAGAATTCTCTGTTTAGCTCTGTACCCCATTTTTAATTGAATTACTTGATTTGTTGGTGTTTAACTTCTTGAGTTCTTTACATACTTTGGATGTATGTATATCTATCAGATATAGGATTGGTGAAGATCCTTTCCCAGTCTGTAGGCAGTCGTTTTGTTCTGATGACAGTGTCCTTTGCTTTACAAAAGCTTTTCAGTTTCGTGAGGTCCCATTTATTGATTGCTAACCTTAGAGCCTGTGCTGTTTGAGTTCTGTTCAGGAAGTTGTCTCCTGTGCCAATGAATTCAAGGCTCTTCCACACTTTTTCTTCTAACAAGTTTAGTGTGTCTGGTTTTATGTTGAGGTCTTTGACCCACTTAGTTTTGTATAGCGTGATAAATTTGGATCTTTTGGCGTTTTCTACATGTAGACATCCAATTAGACCGGCACAATTTGTTGAAGATGCTATCTTTTATCCATTTTATGGTTTTGGCATCTTTATCAAAAAATCAGGTGTCCTTAAGTGTGTGGGTTTATTACTGGGTCTTCTATTCTATTCCATTGATCCACCAGTCTGTTTCTATGACAGTACCATGCAGTTTTTATTACTGATGCTCTATAGTACAGCTTGAGATCAGGGATGGAGATACCGCCAGATGATCTGTTGTTGTACAGTATTGTTTTTGCTATTCTGGGTTTCTTGTTATTCCATATGAGGTTGAGAATTGTTTTTTTCTAGTTCTGTAAAGAATTGTGTTTGTATTTTAGTGGTAATTACACTGAATCTGTAGTGGTTTTTTGGGGTTTTTTGTTTGTTTGTTTGTTTGTTTTTTGGCAGAATGATGACCATTTTCACTATGTTAATCCTACTGACCCATGAGCATGGGAGATCTTTCCGTCTTCTGATATATTCTTCAATTTTTTTCTTCAGAGACTTGAAATATTTTTTTCATACAGGTCTTTTACTTGCAATCAAACTGCACAGGTGACTGGCAGTATTAATGTAGTGATTTATAATCCTTTCATAATTGTTATATAGTGCTGGTCTGATATAACAATATTGCCGCTTCCTAAAGAAATTTGCAGAGTCACTGAATTTTTAGTATAGGGTTTTATCTCAGGTAAATCTACCTCCTTAAGACTATTGTTAGTTCATTCAGTAATGTTGTACTCTGAATTATTATCATGGATTTTTTTTTTTGAGACAGGGCTTCTCTGTGTAGCCTTGGCTGTCTTTGAATCACTTTGTAGACCAGGGTGGCCTGGAACTCACAGAGATCCACATGCCTCTGCCTTCTTTAGCTGGGATTACAGGCATGGGCCAATGCACCTGGCTCTCATATCTTGAATTTTAGCCTGTAGTAATTTTTTTGTGGCCTAAAATATGTGTTCCAGTGAAGTAATACTGCTTCAAGTCTTTCATGTTTTCAAAATAATGAAAATTGGAAATGAATTTTTAAAAAGCAACTGGCCTGATGACATGCCTGAGATTGTGGTAAACTGCTTGGATTACAAAGACGAGGACCTGAGTCTGGATCCCGAGCACCCACATAAAAGCCAGGTACCCACATAGAGAACATCTGTAATGTAGGTGCCTGGGAGCAGACCTAGGGCTTGCTGAACCATCAGTATAGCTAGTCCATAAGCTCCAGTTCACTTAGAGAAGCTGTCGCAAATAGTAAGGTGTTTCAGGCACCAGTAAGCCTCAGCATGAGGAGTTGTTTGCTGCCAGGCCTGACAACTTGAGTTTGATCCATGGAACCAATGCAGGAAATCAACTCTTTAAGGTTTTCCACTGGATTCCATAGGCATTTCATGGGACATGTGTGCTTACACATACATACACACTCACACACACACACACACACACTCTCTCTCTCTCTCTCTCTCTCTCTCTCTCATAATGAGTAAATGTAAAAATAAAAATTTTAAAGTTTGTGTAAGATGGATCAGTGGGTAAAGTCACCTGCCACAAAACATGATCTGATTTCCTGTCCGTGGAAGCCACACTGTAGAAAAAAAAGAAAGAAGACAACTGACACCCAAAATTTGTTTTCTGATTTTTGACACATGCCACCCTGCACAAGCTTGCCACAAACAAATTCAGTGAGTAAGTGAGTGAGTGAAAAAATAGATGAATTTTAAGAAAAAATAATAAATAAGGTGGTGAAGCAATTTGAGAAAGATGCCTGATGTCAACTTGGAGCCTAGACAGACATACAGATACACACACACACATACACACACACACACACATACACACACACCACATAAATATAAAATAAAATATCTAGAAATCACTTTTAGAGTAAATTATATTCCTGGGTCTCAAAGACAATATTTTATTTTCTGGAATCTGTCACCACACTGTTTTTCTTTGTTTTTTGTAGATGCTACTGAGTAATGATTTTAATAGATTAACATGTTTTATAAAACTCCATCTGTATCATTAATGTACAAGAGTATACAAAGATAAAAAGATGCCTAAAATGCATGTAATTGGTAATCAGTGATAACTAGAAAAAATAAGGTTATAAACTATTACAAGACCTGGAGAACTTAAAAGTTACCATTTAAAGTTTTAACTTCTTAAAACATTAAATTATCAAGTTTTTTATTTGTTTTAATGGAGTGAAGTGATGAAATCATAGGTGCTGTAGTCATGTTGACATTTTGTTTCATTTAGTGTCGTTTGTCAACCAATTTTATTACAATGTAGGAAACATAACAGCATGTTCTTGTAATTATACATATAGAGACAATGTTGTGTAATGTAGTCTTGGCCTAATTGCTGCTTGTATTAATTTGCTCTTCTGTATTATTCAGAATTGGCTTTATTAATAGTAAAAAAAATGATCAACTTAATTGTCAGGCTTCAAGGTTTAATGCTAATTATATGCGTATATTTGAAAATGTTGATCTGTTTACATTGCTATGAATTATTTATATCAAACGGGAAAGGCCTAGGTAAAGCTGATACTATTGAAAAATATACATAAATATTTACATTCTTTTTTTTGAAAATATTTTTTCATACAATATATTCTGATCATAATTTCCTTTCCTTCATCTCCTCAAAATTCTCCCCAACTTTCACCCTTCCAAATTCATGTGTTGATTTTCTTTTTCTAGTGATTTTTATGCATTGGCTTTACTTTATTCTGCTTTTTTTTTTTTATTAATTTGCCTGTTTGTAAAATATATTTTCAAACCTGTTGCCTAGTGGTGCTTAGTGGGGTTTTCTGAATTAAGTTTGCCAAATTTAGTTGCAATTTTTACTGTCCTCTAATGCTTTCAGAATGATGTACATATCTATGTACAAATTTACATTTACTTTGTCAGTAGCTATACACAGAATGTAAACCGTGTGTTAACTCTCAGTAAGCACATTATAATAATTACTTGAAGCTTATATATGCTTACTTTTTAAAAATTTAATTAAGAGGTGGGTTTTTGTAATGTTTCCAGAGAAAGGAAAATGCTGCCAACCCTTATATTATCATTTTTTATGTTAAATTCAGTCACCTGCAGATCGGTGCAAGAAAATCCATGCTGGTGATGAAGTGATTCAAGTTAATCATCAGACTGTGGTATGTATAATTACCTTAAAAGTTAGTGGGAGGAACTATTTTAAAGATTGAAGCCCATTGGCTGCTCATTTTCCAAGTTGTTTCCCTAGTAAGGGGTAGAGGGACTGTCTCTGACATAAACTCATTGGTTGGCTCTTTGATCACCTCTCCCTGATGGGTGCAACCTTTCCAGGCCACACAGAGGAAGAAGATGCAGCCAGCTTTGATGAGACCTGATAGGCGAGGGTCAGATTGAAGGGGAGTAGGTCCTCCCCTATCCAGGGACTAGGGAAAAGGCATAGGACGAGAAGAAGGAGGGTGGGTGGATGGTACTGGAAGGAGACAAGAGAGGGAGCTGCAGTGGGGATACAAAGTGAATAAATTGTAATGAATAAATATATAAATAAAATTAAATTTAAAAGAATAGATTTACTAAAGCTTTAAAATGATACCAGTGAAATTAAATATCAGTATTTTATACAAGATAATCAAAGAACTTAAAAATAAAAATTACAATTACTTTTTCAAATTGTTTGATGGAATGTAAGATGGCTTTTGGAAAAAGGAAGAAATATTGGAAGTTACAAATTTGACTTTTTCTGGAATAAGTTTCATTATTTTTCATTTTTTATAGCTTTGTGAATTAGCTACTAGATATATATATTATGGTTATTTAGCTGTTATATATTATGGTTATATACATATTTTCATTTGTTAGAACATTGACTTATTCATTAATATATTGAGAATTTGGCCATAATTTAAATACACTTTTTTTAATAAAAACTATAATCTTCAGTAGGTGACTTGGCTCCTGTTTTCCCAAAAGGAATTATAGTTTTAATTCTAACAATATTATGTTAATTAAATAAGTTCACAAAGCTTTCTTGCCCTATGAAGTTTACAAAACTATTCACAGAACTATGAATGGCAGTAGCATTTTATGCCTGTGATAGATGTGATAATAGATTTTCAAAGACCTAGAAAATGAATGGCATTCATTTCTGATTATTTTGTCTGCCTCAGATGATTCACTTTATCTCCCCTCTTTAGCAAACATAAGGTATGACGCCAAAAATTGAAAATAAAATAATCTGAAGTCATCAGTATAATCTTCATCTTTAAAAACATGAGATTTAAAGAAATGTTCTACATTAGTTTACGAAATTTAGGATGAGTAATCATTTCCTGGTCATGCTATTGAACTAAATTTGTTTTTGAATGTCCTAATGGAAACTTGGAAAGTCTGGTTTTATGGGGGATGAATTTGGAGAGGCTCCCAATGATCATGAAAGTTAAAATGTTTCAGTGAGTTCATTATCTACCTGATATAAGGTGGATAGTACTTTTTTAATGAGATGTATTGGTGTGTGGCTGGTCCTGAACGAAAAAGTACTGATAATACACAAAGGCTTGACAGTCCTGATGACTTTGCTTCTCCCATAAAACACTGTTTAAAGTGGTTGTACTTTTGGAATTTTCTGGATCCCTAGAATGAGAATTTGGGCAAGAGGATAAAATACTTATTCTAGTATGTCATCAGCTTTTTCCTCCATTATGCTCATGTTGCTTCCTTCTCTGCCAGAGACTTTAACAAGTAGACCTTCTGTTGCATAGTTTCTACATGAGGTTCTACTTGATTGAGTTTAAGATGAAAGTTAGTTTTCTAGTGAAAAAAACAACAACATTGTTTAAAGAGTTCTCTTTATGGCATAAATTTGGCATTCATTAAATGAATATCAGTATAAATGTTTACAGAGAAACTAATAAAATCTGTATGAATGGTTACATTTACATGTTGTGAGAATGTGCATATACATTTTCGTCACAAGAATATTTTAGAAATTTTGAAAAACATTATAGAATGAGGGTTGGGGAAACCTGGTTCTACTTTTTGCTCTGAAAGGTACTTATGGCCATAAATGATTAATATCAGAGTATTTACCTTTCTAGAAATATTAACTGTAATTGAAACCTTAATATACAACTGTTAACACAATTATTATGTCACATATTTTCTCTTTTGTTTATTATTTATAATAAATCCTGCATGAAAGCTGTTGTGTACGGAAATTGAGTCTCAGAAAAAGTATTTAATTCATCAACGTATCTTAACTTTCTGACTCCAAGACCCAGGCTCTTACTTCAATCTTATTGTACCCTTCTATAATTCAACTTAATAATTTATCAAACAAAAAATAATAATCCTGATAAATTAATAATTGTGTGAATAAATCTCAAAATTCAATGAGACAGTAAGTGGGGCCATGTATTAGGAAAGAGAAGAACAAGTGAGAATTTACATAACTGGAGTAGTGAATCAATTTAACTCAAACTGGAATTAGATTTGAAGCTCATCTTTACTGCCATTTTTCATTGGGCTCATTTCCTTCAGATAGATTAAATAAATAAAATTCCTATCACAAATGCTGGTATTCATTAGAAACTTGTTAACAATTGACCTGCATACCTCTCTTCTATCCTTTTGTCTAATAACTATAGTTGGAGCATTCAGAGTCCTGTTTCTTGAGAGACTGCTATTACAGCTAAAAAATGTATTTTGGTTTAAAACAATAACAGGAAGCTATTTTGAGATTCATAAAAGTAACCTTGGTTAATGATGTCATTAGTTATCAGATTTTCTTTATGTTCAAGTAAAAGGCATATTTGTGCTTGATTTTTTTTAATTTAATGTAAAGTACCCTTCTCTTTTATTGTTGCCTACATTATGGTCTGAATCGTGCTTTAAGATTATTCTAAACAATACACAGAGAGAATAGAATAAAAATTATCTGAGTTGTCATACTGCTAAAGCAAGGGTAGATAGGTGAATTATTTGAAACAAGCATGAATTATTTGTTGTCTGCAATTATTTCATCTATCATCTGTAGTCATTAAAATGGAGAGTAGTGCTTGACTATGATGGCACATTAAATAGTGTAATATACTTGAAACACATAATTAATATAAATTATTGAATCCATTAATTAATGTACCAAAATCATGGTATTATTGGAATTAGCCTATATCATTTTTGATTCAACAATTAGAAAAAAGTTATGCCAAATCTTTCTGTTTTGGAAGATAGTTTTCTGTGATTTTAAAATTATCCTACTACTGCAGGTTGTACTGTACAATATAAAAATCTACTCATTTTCTTTATAGAAATTTCATTGAAAACCATTTTAAATATTTCTGTGAGCATCAATGAAAGATAAGTGAATAACAGGAAAATTTGAATGTCATTGTTTTAAATGGTTAGTATGGTTTGTATACTCAATAGCATTTGACTTTCTTATCTCTCTTACCTATTGAACATGTCCAGTTGGATATGTGTGATTTTCCTATGTTCTTTTTATTAAAATATATATAGTGTTACTTGAAATGAAACTGGAAATTACATGTCCATTTTCATGTTGCAATATTCTTCATTATAAACCTTTAAGTTTTTCACATCAACATACTTCAGTGGTGGAGAAACTGACTGCCAAATAGGAAAAAAAAACAATCATGAACATCCAAGCAAAGCAACATGATTCTTATAGTATGTCTTCCCTGCCAGTGAAGATCAACTCCTGAAAGGCTGCTGAACACACCCCAGATTCATTCTTTCTGTCTCTTTATCTCTGTTTATCTCTCTGTGTGTCTCAGTCTCTGTCTCTCCTCTCCCTCCTTTTTATTCTCTCTCTCTCTCTCTCTCTCTCTCTCTCTTTCTCTCTCTCTCTGGCTCTTTCCCTCTTTCTCTCTACTTTCCTCTCCTTCTCCATCTCTACATCTCCATCTTCCTACCACCTTGACATAGTTTGAACCAGCAACTCTGTCCTCATGATATAGTCTAAATATGTATTTTCCTGATGATACTGTAGTTTTCAAAAATACCTGGGCATATTCATAATGAATCTGCTAAATTGTTAATACTCTTATTGGTGTGAGTGCTCTAAGTCCTTATTTTTTGTCCATACTAAAAACAGACACTTTGTTATTAGGCATATCATTTCAAAGAAGGGCACATGTATGGTGACTGAATGTGATATTTGGAAAAGTTTCTTCTATTTTGTGTTAACATTAAAATATATCCATTGCAACTGTGAAAGGTTTGCTTGGCACTTCATGAATATTTTGGCAAACATGGTTCAACAAATTTAGTTATAAAGCAATGTAAATGGAATAACCAGGTTGAGCTATCAATATGATAGACTGCACAAAAAAATACTGTTGATCATTAAATCCATTATAAGATAGTGTGCTTTTTAACTCTCAAGATGGCAAATATTACTGAGTAAGATGACTAAATCATGGCAAAGGGGATACAGCAAAGGAAACAGCCTGGGAACCTCATTCTAATTTTGATTGTGTCTCTCTAATTCTCAATGGACTGTCTCATGTCTGATTGTTACCTCACCTTTATGTTCTTCAGGCCTAGAATAAGAGATCCTTGTTGAAATGGGGAGGGGTCAACATAAGCAGAATAAAATCCATCTCCATTTTGTCCTACTTTAGCTATAATGCCTTTCCTGAATGTCATTTAGTGACATATATATCATGATATCATTTAACATTAAATGTGTTTTCCCCTCAGTTTTCTAAATAAGTTTTATCTTTATATTTTATCACTGTATACATCTCTTCTCACTTAACTATTTCTCCTCTATTCTTGCCTTGTTAGATTTTCTTTATCTTAGTCTGTTCTATTCCCCTTTCTCAAAGGAGAAGATATTTATCTTATAATTTCTTATGGCCAAAATATTGAACACTGAGACCGCAAATGGTAATGTTCCTGGTATTTCCTATATATTATTCTTATAGTCACAAGATGTTACTAGACTATAGAGATTGAGTATATTAGCAAAATAACAAATTAATAAATAAGTGGCTCTTATAATAACGTATACGAACAATATTGGGATTCTTCAGAATTGCTATTCTAAGACAAAGTGAATGAAATACTATTTTTTGGAAGGGGAGATATAAAAAATAAAAAAATTAAACAATATATTACAGTTTTAGTTACTTATAGTAAT